TCTTTAACCTATCTTTTTAGAAAATATTATTGCTAAAAAAACATAAACATTCAATGGATAAAAGTAAGCATTTTGAGGATTTGTGATGATGTTAATTTGCTTATACTGGTGTGTACATATATACAGTACATTGATAAGCCAAAACATTATGACCACCTGCTGAAAGTGCTGTTGGTCCCGCAAATGCTGGCTGCGTGCCCAGACTTCGGGATTTCCAGCAGAACATTTCCCAGCAAAACGGTGGAAGGGGGTAATTTGCTTTCAAAGTGATCTGTGGCGACTCAGCCCCATATGCTGGAGGGTGCAATGTACTGAGTGTTGTGACACATTCTTCCCATAACCAACATTTAACATTTCCTCAAGTTGTGCTACAGTGGATCTTCTGTCAATTTGGGCCAGACAGATTAGCCTTCATTGCCCTCGCAATGAGCTTAGGCCCTCCAATGCCCCATTACTAGTTTGTGGTTTATCTCTCCTCGGACCACTGTTGGTTGGTACTCGCCACTGCTGATCAGAAGCACCAGCCCAGTTGCCTGGCCATAATTATTTTTCTCTTTCAAAATTTGCTCAGGTTCCATTTCTCCTGCATCCAACACTTCAACAGCAAGAACTTAATGACTTTCCCCTAATGGCCAAGGTTTGTTTGCCGACCTTGAAATGCACGGTTGTTTCGCGATAATGAACTGTATTCGCTTTATCTGTGAGTAGCTAGTAGTTGTAATTTTTTTAGCTCATCAGTGTGCACTTGTGTGTGTGTGTGTGTGTGTGTGTGGTATAGTGGTGTAAATATATATATATATATATATATATACAGTACTGTGTGGAGGTCTTTGGCACCCTGCAGCTTTAAATATTTAGGCCTGGCTTAAAATGTTTACTTTTTGTTTTACACATTGGTATTGCTGAAGATAAAAAAAAAAGTATATTTAAAATTCCAAATGCCAATTAGAAAAATAGTTTCATAAATAAATGTTTGTATTCCATTAGAAACACTTGATACAGATAATATAGTCTTGACAGAGCCCTGATATCAACATCATCATGGCTGTCTGCAGGTTACTTGGAGGGACAGACGCAAGTGAGACAGTCAGTCTGCAGAAGAACAGGGGCAAGTTTTCCACCCAGCTTGGAACAAGAAAATACCAGTCATCTTATAAAACTGTAACACAGCAGGACTGTGTCCCTAATTTTCAGGCAAATCAAAGTCACAAAAACTATTGTTTTGATTCAGTTTTTAACAGATAACTGCTCTTTATGGTACATTTCTCATATATAGTTGTATATGTATATGCACACACACTGTATATATACTGTATATACATATATATGTATGTATATGTATTTTTTATAAATGAACTTGCGTCAATTTAAGAATTGATTTAGGTGCTTGAACAGTATTAGCTCTGTTATTCTGAAGAATGGCAGTTCTGAACATCTCTGTTTCTCCTGCCTGCAGCACAAAGCCTCCTCTCCTCGGCTGCCTGAACTTTCTGGGCATTAGCTGTGGCTCTGCATTTGAGCTCGCAACTTTGTTTTTTTTCAGTAAGAGAGGAGGGGACTAGTGATTGGGGAGGAGACTGGGTTTGGGGTGGGGAGAAAGAGATGTGGCTTGATATTTCATTTTTACTCAAGAAACCGAAAATTACTCACGCAGTGGTTCCTCCCCAGCATTTGCTCTGAAGAATTAGAATCACTCAGACATGCGTAAGCAGTGGTGAGAACTACTTCCCTCTTGTCTCTTTCTCTCTGCCTCTGACACGTTCGTCGCAAACCTCCAAGTGGCTGCTAAGTAACAGCAGCTTTTGAACCCTGTCCACAGTCACAACTATGGATGAGGACACGTAGGTGATCTTGGACCAGACTCGACCTGGCTGCACTGATCTGAGGGAAGATCCTGGCCCCTCAAGGAGTAAAAGTCCATTCCTGGGTCCTCCTAAAACCCTTGTTTGATGCTAACCACCATCAACGACCTTACCAATCAGCAGGTGAGTGATTCCTTATCATCATGAAGTTATTCAGTAAGATAATGATGCGCTGTTAAACCTGCATTACATTTTTGGTACAGCTGCCTTAGGAAGCATCCAATAAAAAAAATTAAAAAGGCCATAAAATCTTTTATTTCATATCAAAAAATTTTATCTGTTTGTAGATTTATTCACCTGGTAACACTTTACAATAAGGGTACATTAATTAATGCAGTAATTAAGCATTAACTACCAATTAATTAACAGTTAACTAATGCATCAGAGAACTAAATGAGCTAAACTTACCAATTATTAATACTCTTTGACATCCTTATTATGAAGTTAAACACATCCCTTAAGTATCCGTTAAGTAACACCTCAAACTATCAAACTATTCAATAATGGATGAATTTATACCGTATTTAACTTGAAAACCATTAATAAATGATTCGTAGACCTATTAGTTTACTGTTAATCAGATGAAGATTCACTAAGGCTGTTGGACCACAATGATCCTTTTTCGGTTCCTGACCATCTTCGAGATCAAGTCGCCGAATTTGAAGATCGATACAGCAGCATTTATCTTGGCAGTCATTACAGGAGAATCTTTGACAACAATCCCGATTCAACTAAAGAGAGTTTATACGACTACTTTGAGCAGTTAATGCTTCTTACTGCATTAGCTAATGTTAGTTAATGTACCCTTACTGTAAAGTGTTACCATTCACCTACGTATGGTTTTAAAGTCAGATTTTAATTCCCAAAATATGCTTTATTATATTTATTTCAAGGGCTAATTCTCAACCGTAACTCTTGGCACTGTGCTGCCTTAAATTTGTTTTTAAAACCAGGCCTTCTCAAAAACGAAATGCTTCTATTATTATAATGTAACCTGCAACTTTTCTAAGATACCATCCATTGAAATGCAGTGTGGAGGGTGCTGTAAAATGACTTGCATAGATGAAGATACTAGATTAAGTGCACAGGGCTCTTCTCCATTTGCCTTTGGGGGAAAAAAACACCCCCAGCAAGTGAGTCATGTTGTGCTGTGAATGAGTTCACAAAGAGAAGGGTAGTTTAAAAAAAACCCCCCAAAAATTAAACTTCCAAATATCTCTATGACATCAGAAGCACTTCAAAGGCAGGATACAGGAGCAGACATGGTGCAGCTAGTTTCTTAATTCTGCTCCATTAGTCCAAAATGGCTGCATTTCACAAATTAGATTTCTTTTTTACAAGCTCAAATGCCAAATCCACATCTGTGTGTCTTTAGAGATGATCGAATAATCTATAATTGAAATATTCCAGCCAGTGTTTACGCCATCAAAGCCTGTATGTATGCTGCTGTATTTCCATGCTGCGATAATTAATTTGATTTAGGTTCTGTATCCGTATCTTCTGTCATAGCAACCACAGTGGTGTAATGCTGATTAAGGAAGGAATGGATCCATTTGGTGTTCATTTAAGACAGCAGAGGCCTCCTGTAATTGACTGAGTTGGTGATGCTGCCTTCTTGTAGTTTGTCCTGAAAAAAAAAAGGCTGAAATGAAAAGAAAAAAGAAAACAGTAAAAACATGAGGTTGTCTCCCATCACAGACCATAAAGTTACTTGTATAAGAAAGTATACATTTACAATAAATATGCTGTGTGTGCCAGTAACATGCAAGCATAGAATATTATATATGCTTAAAACTTTTTCTTTCTCGCACTCTTTCGCTCTCACACGTATACACTACAATAAAAAAAGCACAGAGCAAATGAATGCAGTCCATATTATTGGCCAGTGTATGAAAATTATTTAAAAAAGCTTTTCAGGCAAGAGTTTTCTGCTTGCATTCAGTACTTTGAGGCTGCGGCACATGAATTGCTTGACTGGCAACATCCTGGAAACACCCATTCAGTAACACCGAATAACACCGTTTCATGGGAATATTTCTCTGCATGCCTTGTTTGGAGGAAAAATACCACAGCAGACCACTATGCCCCCTGTCTAGCCTGCTGACAAGATCTCTGGATATTTTCCTCCTGACTTTTCCGCGTGAGCAGACTTGCTGCTTGAAATATGGTGAGGTTCTGCAAAGGGAAGCATCACATGACCAATGGATGGCTTCCTTTTTAATAGGACAGATGCTGCCGATGAGCCTGTGCATGGTGCTACATTGACAAAACTCCACAGCCACCCACAGGATATTTCAAGCCCTGTGTCTTCTGTTAATATCATATTTCACAACTGCTGCTGGTGGCGGTTTGGAGTTGTGTTGGGTTTCCAAAACTAAGGGCGTGCGGCCGGTTTTGGATAGCGAGAGGGCTGCCGTCAAAATGACCTGCTTAAATATAACAACTGACTTCATAGCCATTGTAGAACCAACGCAGCTGTGAGTTTAAGTGCTTCACTGTTTTTGGCTGTTGTAAGAAACCACATTGTCAGCAACGTATGGTTACCACTTGATGTAGGTTTTACAGGCTGAAGTGGCGACAGAGCACGTGCGGATTCGCCGCGGTCACATAAATGTCTCTTGGAAAGTACCGCTACTTTTTGTTTTTTTTTTTTCAAAAGGTCAACATTGCTGACAGCATTCTCAAAAGCAAGACTTTTGGGCTGATTGGCTCAAACGCAAGCATTGGAGATAGCAAAACAAGCAAGACACTTCTGAGTAAACACTGAGAAAATACTGAAAAGCCAAACTGACTTCAAATTGTACAGAATATCAGGGGAACAGGATAACACTAGATTTTCCTATTACAAAGGCAGCAGGATGCCCAAAAGTCACGGCATGCAAAAAGACTTTTTTTTCCTTTTTTTTGTAGCTGATTCGGGTACGCCTTTCAGCCTTATGATGGCTCGCCTACCTGGCATCGACAGCGACTTTCTTTTGAGTTAACACAGATTCAGCATGAAAATGCCACACTCAAAATCAACTCATTTCCTTTTATTTGCTTACTTTTGAATAAGATAATGAGAGAATAACTCACAACTTGCCTTAGAAAAGCTGTGCAACCAATTACTTTTATTCCCTTAAAAAAGGGGAGTGGAGCTGCTGGATAGCTCACTCGGTTAAAGCATTGGTCTGCGAAGCAGAAGTGACTATCACGACGCGGGTTTGAGCCCCGGTCCTACAAACTGGCAGTGGTCGGCAGCTTTTACAGAGTAGCGCTCAATTGGCCATTTCGCTACAGGGATGCAAATTGGGAAGGGTCTGCCGGGAAGGGTAATATAACATGGTTCCGTTGTTCGTTGCTTAGGCGCCTCCTGTTGGCCAAGACGGGCGCTCGTCAGGAAGATTCTAAGCTTGTTCATGTTCAGGTATCCTCCGCCCTCGTTCTGAACTTGCGATGATTCAACCATTGAGTGTATGAGAAGCGGTGGCTGACGGGCGCGTTCTTCGGAGGAGAGCCGTGAACTGTCTTCACTCCCCTGAATTGGCAACAAGGGGTCGCATACGAGCAAGTGTTGTACATAGTTCCCCAATTGGGCATTCCAGATTTGGGTGGGCTTGGAGATGCTAAATTTTTTAAAAAAAAAAAAAAAAAAAAAAAAAAAATGGGGAGTGGGGGGGCTATATTAAAGGGGTGCATTTCCTGCACCATTCACACAATTATTTGGTATGTAAATACTTTAATATTAGAGCAGAAAATCTTCACTTAGAGCACATATCCAGTATGCTGTGGAAGATGGCTAAAATAACGACAGCTTCATCAATGTTCAAATATTTATGGACCCAAATTACATGGGTTTTGTCAGATCTGTGTGCCAGAAAAGGGCATGGTAATTTACAAAATATGGATAATTTACAAAATACAGTGTGAGACTACTTATGCTCTTTTGATTAGAGAATACTGTCATATTGACAGATGTGCCACCTACAGTGCTGTGAAAATGTGTTTGCCTCTTCCCCGATTTCTTTTATGTCTGTTTATTTATGATTTTTAAATGTTTCAAATCATCAAGTAATTTTAAAAAGACAAAGACAATGTGAGTAAACACAAAATGCAGCTTTTAAATGATAATTTAATTTATTGAAGGTAAAGAGTAATTGAAAACCTATGTCACTTATGTGGAAAAAAAAAAAAAAAAAATTCCTCCAACCTAATAACGGGTTGTGCCATGCATGACAGCAACAACAGCAATCAAACGATTGCAATGACTGGCAATGAGAATTTTACATTTCTGTGGGGGAATTTGGAATTTTGACCCAGTCTTCTGTTCAGAATTGTTTTCACTCAGCCACACTGGAGGGGTTTAAGGTATGAACTGTCTGTTTAAGGTCGTGTCAGGATTTTGGCTAGGCCACTCCAAATTTTCATTCTGTTTCTTTTGAGCCACTCAGAGGTAGCTTGTGTGCTTCAGATCACTTTCCTGCTGCATAAACCACCTATGCTTCAGCTTTAGGTCACAAAGTGATAGCCAGACATGCTCTTTCAGGATTTTTTGCTCAGTCTCATTCTTATCAAGGAATTGTGAAAACCATAGGTGTAGGACCCGGGGGGGGGCGGGGGGTGGGGACGTGTCCCGTCCAATATTGGAGACAGGCACATTTGTCCCACCCAAAAATTATACCGCGGAGGAGAAAAATATTTGATTTTGAAATTTTTTAACTTACGTGCTTTTATTTTGAAAGCGCAACGCAGCGTCATGTCACTGGCCCGCCCCCTCCCTCTCCGGCTCTGAGAGTTTTTGGGAGGCGGGAGACAGCAGCAGTCGACAGCAGGCGGTCTGATGACAGAAACTCTTTTCATTATGTCCACAGTTGTTAATTGAACATGTTCGCTCGTTTCAACTAACAAACTAAACCTGGTTTCTGTCACATGTTGGTTAGTAATCGGTTCGCTAGCAGTAGTAGCTAAATATAAACCAAGTGGATATGTCAAATTATGAGGTGAATTTCAGTGGAGAAATCCCGCAAAGGTGCCATTATTAATTAATTATTTTATATGCAGGAACCACAGCAGCAAGCTAGAGAAACAGAGCAAGCTGTTGAGGACACAGGTGTATCAGGGCTTCAGGTGAGGTCATAATTATGACTTGTTCTGTGGAATTATAGGGAAAGCATTAAAGTTAGTCTCATGATGTTCAGCAAATATAACCTTTGAAAGTCAAAATGTCTGAACCAACTTTGGCTCAGTGGGGGAAATGAAAGAAACACGTAATCGTAAATTGAACATGATCCAGTCCGATTAACACTAGGTTTGCGGCTTGTCCAATTCATAGTCGGTGGTCCATTTTGAGGTGTTTATCGTGGCTGCAATTGCGTTACCGCATATTAAGATGCTTAATAGAGAGGATTGTGAGCTGGCTTGCTACCGTAGTTATATATCCACTTACTCGGTATCAATGTCCAGGTTACTAGATCTGAGCTGGTTTCATGAGTGTGCTGATATGGTTTGCAGCTGTCAGTTAAGGTTGTGGCAAGTTTATGCATGTGGTATCTTTGTATGAAAATTTTGGAGGCACCTTGCGTACCCTAATTAAAAAAAACTGAGAAACACTCATTCGGATAATCTCTGTATACAGTAAAGGCAGTATCTGCACTCAGATTTACAAAAATTTTCCAGCGCGCTCGCATCACATACGTGTGCCTACCAATGCTCACATTAAACCTACGCCCCTGGTCCCCCTCAATGTTAAACTCATTCCTATGCCCTTGGCGAAAACTGATCTTAACTGAAGAAAGTGCGGTCTGCACTTTCTAGATGTTATTCTGGGTTCTTTTGTGATTTCCTGGATGAGTCGGCAATGCGCTTTTGGAGGGATTTTGGTGAGCCAACAACTCTCAGAAAAGTTTACCACTGTTTCAAGTTTTCGCCATTTGTATGGCTCTCATCATGGTTTTCTGAAGTCTTAAAATGGCTTTGTACTAGGCATCATGTGTTGCTTTTTGCCAACTTCACATTGCCAGACAGGTCCTATTTCAGTGATATTCAGATTCAAGAGGGCTGGCAGTAATCATACCTGGGTGTGTCTATTGAAATTGAACCAAATTATTCATTAAATTTATTTTCTTTGTTGATTTAGTCACTAAGGAGGCAATCACTATTTCATATACGACAAGGAAGAGTTGGGTAACTTTCTTTCTTCAATAAGTGAAATTAATTAAAAACTGCATTTTGTGTTTACTTGGGTTATCTTTGTCAAATATTTATGATCTGAAACATTTAAGTGTGGAAAATATATAAAAATGGAAGAAACTGGGAATGGGGCAAATACTTTTTCACCGCAATGTACATGCATGAATACTGTGGCACAGGTGGAGAGGTATGCAGATGTTTACTGAGTGACATCAAGTAAAATATGCGCCATGTTTGCCTTTACAAGAGTGAGAGCTGTTTTCACAGGCTGGGAAGTGCACATCTCATATTTTGGAAGAACCTAGAATGTTATGATTCTGTTCTGCTCTGCCCATGTTCTGTTCATGTTTTGCATTTCCCTTGTTCCATGCCATGTTTTGTTTTTGTTTATTCATGCACTTCCTGCCTTAGTCCTATTCCCCAGTTAGATTCCGGTCATTGTTTTGTATTTCACCATGCATTGCACTTTGTCTCCCCTGTCTGGTCTTGTGTTATGTGACAGCTTATTTCCCCTAGTATTGTGTGCCACGCTTTCAGGTGATTTCATGGTTCTGGGTTTTCAATAGTTCCTTCTTATCTCATTTGCTTCCTTCACCTTGCTTTTCTATTTTACTAACAAGTACTAACAGTTTGTTATTTTGTTAAAGTTACTAACCAAAACTAACATTGTATATAATACTAACTTACTAATGAGCACCAGGGATTGTATAGCTGCACCGTACTAATTGATTAGCAAGCTCTCAGCATTCGCCCTGTTCTAGTCTCCGCCTCGTCTTCACTCAATCTACTTGGCTGCGTTTGAGCGGATCCTCCGCACCTGCTCAACTCTGTTCTGCCTCTCATTATCTGTGCACGATAGAACTCCCTAACCGGAGCTGTGTGTTTTGTCAGTAGGCTGTCTCGTGATCCCTGTCCGCGTTTTGGCTTTTGCCTATTTCATGTGGTTAGGTTCTCCCTTGTGTTTGTTCCTTCATAATTAGTCTGATCCAATTCACCTGTCCCTAATCATAGCATGTGACTTCCCTTGTGTGTATTTAAGCAGTCGACTCACAGCAGTTCCCCGTCAGAACGTTTCCCTTGGTTTGCCTGTGCTACGCTTGTTTTTGCCTTGTATTCTCTTGTGATTCACTTCTGACTGGACCGTCCCTGATTACCGATTTTGGCTCTGTTTTGGATTGCTTTATGCTTCTGTGTATCAAACCCTTTTTTGCCCAACTACGAATTCTGTGATTGGTGCCCTGTTAACGACTTGGATTTTGCTCTGTGGATTTTTGATTTTTGGATTGTGGACTTTGTACCGTTGCCTCCTGCTCTGCGGGGGTTCGCCCCCTTTCTCAATAAAATCCTATTTTACTGCATTTCCTGGTTCTCGCGTCTGGTTCCAGATCGCTACCTCACACTAGAACCTATCATTGTTGAAATTTGTGCTTCCATTTTATATTCACATCTTTTGTTTTTGCCATAAAATGCCCGCCAGACTTAAGACGGCATGAGGCAAAGTTTGTTTGCCGATCTAAAGCCTGAGCTCCAATGGATGCTCATTTGCTCAGCAGTGCATCTGATTCTACAGCACATTTTTACTGACTTAAACTATAAATGTGAACAGTCCCTCGCTCATTCGCAGACACACAGGAGCCTGCGCACATACAGACATATGTGCACGCAAACACACATACACGTATGAGACACACACACACACGCGCAGCCACAGACGCATACAAATACACATATGCGCCAACACACACACACACACACACACACACAGATGATGAACTGATAGGCCAGATTGTCCTTAAGTAGTGATATTCATGAGTGCACATGTACCCTCTATTAGGAGACATTTTTTAAATCAAATACGCATTTTCTTACAGAAAATGAAAAGTTTTGTCTGGTTCCCGTGAATGTTTTTACTTTTATTGAATTTAATATTAAAATTCTGGCATTTAATACATTTTTGATTTGCTGGTTTCACACATTCTGAGATTTGTTAATTTTTCATTATCTATGAAAAAATTATTATTATTATTATTATTATTATTAAATGAAGAGGATTG